GTTGAGTCTGGGTTTGATTAAATGAGTTTTTTATGTAGTTAAAAAAATCCATGCTTCTAATTTATGAACAAGTTCCTGGCTCAGATGTAATCCATCTAGCTTCTATAACTTAATAAGTTCCCAAATGAAACCTCTCGCAAACGGTCATCTGTCCACTTGTACATAAAATGATGTTTACATGTTAGAAATGAATAGTAATAGATACCTGATGCAAATTCCGTTGCCAGTTACGATGGATTTGCGGCTGAAATGTCGTCATAAATTGTGGCGGAACTACCGCCTCAATTTGCGATGTACTGTTATATCAGAAAATATGATATACAGTCATCATTTTTGTGTTTATGATTGAATTCTATAGCAAATCCACCGGAAACCTGTAGCATTAATAAAAATGTTCATAGTCTCGATAAGGTTTTTGTTTGTTAAACTAATAAACATCTCGATAAGACTCATTTGTTGATAGCTTGATAAGGCGCGATCATTAATAGCTCAATAAGGCGCGTTCATTAATTTAAATGAGTCGCTCATTTAAAGCTCAATAAGCAAAAAATGAACCGAACATGGACATATGCCATTTTAAATAAATCAAGCTTGAACATAGTTGTAAAAGCACAAATTGAGCTCATATCGAGCTCAAACAAGCTATTAATAAATGAGCTCAAGCATGAACAAGCATCTTCTCAACTCGGCTCATTTGCAACCCTACATAATTTCTTGGACTCGCCCCAAGGAGTCTTCTCTCAATCTCTCCCTCATATCCCAAGTGTTTACGTAAGCTCTCATAAGAAAGTCTCCATCTCTCTCTCCAAAGGACACTCCTAAAACTCTTTGTAGCAACTGTTTGAACCAACTCTCCTTTTTCCTTGAAACCCTAAAGATTAATATTTAAATAAGAACTAATTTTCAATTTATGATGACTAAATCGTACAATATGAATATCACTTCATACAATACGATTAGTTCAATCTGAATAAAACCCAAAAAATCCTTTTTGTTTGATTAGATTATATGATTATGATCATATAATATGATTAGTTTAAGTGATCAATAAATTGTCCTGTCCAAATAAGAATCATATGAACATGATCTATATTTCTTTGTACTGTACAAATATTCAAGTTCATTTGATCCTGATTTGATTCCAGCATTTATGGATCCAGAATAGGTAAGTATTATAAATATTTATTTAGTATGATCAGTTCAAATTCAAATTTGCCTAACTATAAAAATTCAAAATAACAGGTGGGCTTTATTTAAAATAATTGATCAACAAGCACGATTAGTTATCTTTCATTCTTTATTTCTATTTTTTTAATAAAACTCATATTTTTATTAATGAAGTAAATGTTTGTATAGCACGATCAAGATCGTACAGTATGATTTCTCAATGAAATAAAGTGATTTTAATTATTTTTTTATTTTTATTATTTTTATTCTTACTTGTGAGTGTATGGTTGGTTGTTTAATCATTTTACATCTATAACATAAATTGAATAAAAAAAAGAAAATAGTATACACATTAATAGTCTTCAATAGTCTTTTCTTTTGCAATTTTGAGATCCATTTATTCTTCTGGTCTATTGTTTAATACTACTCTACCTCTTGTCTTTTATCTCAAATATTAGTATAAAGAAAATGATCTGTACACAAGATTGAAATGTGGATTAGTTTAACCAACAATATTATGATCATTAAAACCCTAAATTTGCTTTTTGCACTTAATTGCTCATAAATTAAGGGTAATAAAATGGTTCGAAATTGATCCATCTTCAACCCCCTGACTTGAACCCAACATGATTTGCAAATCAAGTCTGATTCCTGGACTTGACCCGACCTGACACACCGACCAACAAGGCAACGAGGCGCGCACTAGTGCAGGTGCGAGCGTGTGCGGGTGAAGGGGGCGAGAGCATGTGTGGCGTGAAGGTGAGGGTGCGGGGGTGCGTGCGGACGAGCGTGGGTGCGGTCATAGGTATGGTAATGGGAACAAGGCAGGAATCCGAGACTACTAAGTGCGTGGGATCTGGGAGAACAGGGTCATTTCATATTTATTTTAGATTTTTTGCTAGCATAAAGAAGTCACTCTTCTAAATGATGTTGCCTACACATACCAAGAAACTCATTTGTAGCTCATTGAGATTTCTTGTCATGAGAAGTCAATATAGTGATCACCCTCTTCATAGCATTTGCCTATAAATCTTGCCCATCTTATAGCTGGTAGCCTAACTTGCTCGCCACATTGGGCTCATGAGACATAACAAAGGGTTTTTATAGTTTTAGTTGTTTGAATTAATCATATTGTACCATTTACACAGGTTTTGCAAATTAGCTAGTTTTTAGGTTTGTTCTTTGGGTAGTTAATAAAAATATATTTCTTAAAATCCAAAAATATGCAATGATAGAAAAATTAGAAAGTGAGGTGTGCTTTGAGGGAGATTTACTTGTGCTTTTCATTTGAAGTCTCAAGCAGCTTTTTGATTAGTTTTCATTTTAGAACGAAACTACACTTCCATTTGAACTAATATTTTCTTATTGCGTGCTTGTTGCTTTTAATAAATTTATGTGGTGGAAAGTTGTTTTTATAACTAGATTTTCTAACATGTGGTAGCTATAAGAAAGCAAATATTCAACTTTTTTAAAAAAAGATTATATTTATAAGATGACAGCTTTCAAAAAAGTTGGATTTTCTTACAATTTCACAACTACACAACAAAAAACAGCATCAAACTTTTATCCCACTATGCGGGCTAGGCAATTTGAATACGTTTTCTCCATTGTGTCTTGTTAAGAGACAAATTCTCATTTAAATCTAATAAAGAAAGGTAATTTCTAGTATTTTCTAACCAAGTCTTCTTAGGTCTACGTTTACCTTTCTTAACATAAGACAAATCTACATCTACTCTCCTGACCAGGTAATTGAAAGGACTTCGTTTTATGGGACCAAATCATCTAAGGCGACTCTTTCTAATCTTATTCACTTAGAGCTACTACAACCTTTTCACGTATATGCTCGTTTCATATCATATCTCTAAGTGTAAAGCTACTCATCCACCAGAGATCCTCATCTATGCAACACTTAACTTAATATTATGCTTCTCTTTTAATATCCAACATTCTGCACCATAAAGCATTGCAGGTCTCACCACCATCTTACAACTTCACAACTACATTTACATAAAACTGGCGTGCCAAATTGACCTTAAGATCAAAAATCATTTATGAATTGGTGCAAGAATTGGTTTTTCCCACGTCTCTTTTACCGTATTCCTGGATGTTTGGTGTTGAGAGTGGAGAGTCTTTGTTTGATTGAGTTTGTAAGAGGTTGATGAGATTTCGAGGCATTTTTAGTGAAAGAAAGTGTAGACTAATCAGTGGGCTAGAGTAGAGACCTTGCTTGGAGTAAAAGAAGAGGGTATAAATTTTCTCTATGACCTGTTAAAGAGATAGGCTTCTCCGTATGATGGTGGATAAAGGAGAAAGTAGTCAATCATTGAGTCAAAGGGCTCAAGGCATGGGCGTAGGAGGTGTTAATGAAGAACTCGAAAATAGTCAATTTGCATCTCATTTTTTTCTTGCTTTTTATTTTAACATAGTTACTTTTTGTCTAATTTTACTTCGTGCAGTATGAATGACAATATTGATGATTATGATATTTATCTCTTGCTTGTAGATATTTATGTTTTAGTATAGTCTCAAAAAATTCAAAACTTTGTTTAAAAATAAATAACAAACCCCCCCTCTTGGTTGTTGCAAATCAAATTAAAAAACAATCAATTAGAATGAAGGCGTTAGTTTAAAGATGAAAGAACATTTTGATCAAATAAGATTTCTGCTTCAACAAAAATGAGAACACAGAAAGATATTCGAGAATGCAAAGCGGAAATTCAAAATTTAAAATGCATCTAGCTTTACATTATAAAACCTGACCAATTAACAAAGTAACCATTTCCTACAGAACATGAACCATAACATGACTAAGAAAACAAATAAAACAAGTTCATAGCAAAACGTATGCAAATAGCCAACAGATGGAACCTGCGCATTTTTTTTCTCATTCTAAGTCCTTCGTTTTCTTCTCTCAACTCCCAAGCAGAATGCAATAGTTGGCATTGGATTTAAGTGTATGGTATGTTCATATACTTGGTTTTATCTTGAGGACTAAGTGACCCATTAAAAGACACGTGAATGTAATCAAAGATTGCCTAAGACGGTGCTGTCTTCACATTGGTCCCGTAAATTCCCCTCTCTCACCTAACGTCAGCCCCCATCTTCTAACTACCCTCTTTCTAAGCCACCCTGTTTTAATCTTTTGGCCCCTCTTCCCTCACCCCGTCCTGTTCTCTATTAGGTTATGGAACATAGCCACAACTTGAAATAAAAAAAAAAAACGTCTAAGATTTCTTTCTTGTCTAATTAAAGAAAGTATCAGATATTATTGGCTATTGATCAATCTGTGGAAAAAAATCTTTGATGTTCTTTATAGGGGTAATAAGAAAATATAATGTATGTAAGAACCTATAACCATCAAATCTATTAGATATAGTGGTTCCATGAAATGCGGAATAGGGAATAATCATTAATGAACATTTATCGATAAGGTTAAAGTACTGCTTGTAATTAATAGGCTTCATTTGAGAGCAAAATTGAGAAGCTAACGTCAGGCAAAGTGAAATGAATAAACTTATACTTAAATTTTATTAATAGGCCATAATGCTCAGGTAAGTGCCTCAGTGCATAAAGTTTGTAGTTGAGGGATGGTTTCTTTCTTTTCATCAAATCTTTTGCCTCGCTAAATCTAAAAAACAATAAAAAGATCAACTAATAATGGTAAAGTAATGATTTTGAAAAAAAATTGAAACAAGCAATCTATCATCTTTACATTCCAAAGGAAATTGACAGCATATTATATTCAAGAGGAAATATAGATATTGTCAATTTTTTTGCAATGAAACGTCTAAATTTGCTACTATGCTCTTTAATTGTATGAAATATTGACCTACCTGATAGTTTTTCCTGTATAGCTCAACGGCTGCAGAATGAGCCAATATATAATTATGAACTGTGATATATGGCTCCACAGTGGAATTACCTCCTGTACAATTAGTACTGCTTCCTGTAAAGTTAACACCATAAGGGTATGAACAACGTTGAGGAGGGAAGAAACCATAATCAAAGGAGGCTAAGGAGTTAATGTTGGGTTGATTGATCGTGGTCCAATGAGAAACCCTATCGCCAAATTCTTTAAAGCATACATCAGCTAGTTCTTTGAAATCATCGCTGTAAAAAATCTTCAGTTTAGTTAGAAATACAGTGGTGCCTCATTCTTTTCATTAAATTATTATGCAAAAAATTTGGATAATTACATGATTTTTGGGCTTAGCCATCCTCCATACTCATCTTGAAGTACCTGAGGAACGTCCAGATGATGCAGAGTCACGTGAGGCTGAATACCTATTTCATCTCAAAGGGAAAAGAAATACAAGAGATTACAACTAGAAGTTACAGTAGGAATGCAGAGCCTAAATTTTTTGGATTAGAATTTGATTGCCTCGAATTTGGCATAAATGGCAAAAACTGTTGAGCCTTCTTTTTCTTTTTCTATTATTATTATTATTATTATTATTTGAGTAGCAAAAGAGATGAGAGCATCTGACTGTCCAATTCAGTAGTTTTCCATCATGATTAATAAAATGATTTCAAAGTTCAATAAATCAGCATACCGTGTTTGATCAATTCGTTGATGACGTTGTTGTAATACCCAATGCCTTTAGGATTCACTGGCCCTCTCCCTTCTGCAGGATAACATCTAACTTAAATACATTTGAATAAAAAAATAGTGGGTGGATAAAGTACTCGCCCTAAGAAATAAATATATCTGCCTAGTCATTATAACAACTTACTATTCATATTGGTTTAGCTCTTAGATCCTCTCCGAATACATATTCATACTCATATTTTCCTAGAAGTCTACGTAACCAAGTTTCAAACTTTAGTTTTCTCCTGTGCATGGATAATTATACCGAAGTAGGCTATAATACTGTTTAAGCTGATGATATGGGTAAATGAAGCAAAACACGTGCAATTTCTGAAAACCTTAAGCAGAAATGAATGGTTGATCATCATTAGATAACACCACGCAGCGTACATATTTTTGCATGCACACAGGGTGAAAATGATGGTAATCTTGGTAAGTCTATAGTTATAAATAAATTTCGATGGGAAGGCAACGAATATCTTAACATGGTATTTTTATTTAATTCATGGATAGGGTTTTAGAATTAAAAATGGTTTTCCTATACATTATTAATTGACTGAATGATAAGTTTAATAAGTCAATCATACCAAGCATTCTTTTTAGAGGTCAACCTCAAATGTAACAAATCTAATTTACCGTTTCAATGAAACTCGATGGTCCTGATTGTACAAACATGTACTTTTGAGAACTCAGTTATTGAATATCTTGCTTTTGGTAGATTGAAGATAAATTTAGTCAACATAAACAGTTATATAAAACATAAAAAGGAAAAGTTTAGCTTTATTGATAGATAACATACTCGGGAGAAGCCTTGGCCAGGAGATTGATAATCTATAAGCTTCAAGACCAGTGTCACTCATGAGCTTGATGTCTCCCTAAGGGATTTAGTGACATAAGTACAACGTGTGAGAAAACAAGAAAAATTAAAATGTCAAGCAAATTAAACATGTAGTAAGGCATAATCTACACCCTAAAAGTACCTCAAGCATCCCACTTTTTCTTGTAACTATCGCTACTGATTTTCAAGGAAACAAAAAAGCTATGAACATTAAACATTCTAATAACTCCTATCATTAATAACAAACATTGAATGCTCTTTCAAGAAGTAGATGAACTATGTAATTTGAACAAGGTAGATATGAAAAACTATAAATCTATCAATTATTTACCTATTCTATTAGCAAGGACCAAAATGGTTTATTGACTATTTACGAAAGATTAAAATGATCCCCAACTATTTTAAATGATCATTTTGATCTTTAAACTCTTTTAAGAGAAATCAAAATAGTTTCACAACGGGATTAATTTAGTTTTTTTAAAGGATTTGAGAGACCAAAATAATCCTTTAATATAGTTGGGTACCATTTTGATCTTTCATAAAGAGTTAAAGGACCATTTTGATCCTTTTTCCTATCCTATTATCCATTCCACAATGTTTTAATTTGAACTTTCAAGATGTCATCAAATAATTCCCATATTATTATAAATAAAGCGTCATAACTACATATATCCTTTTCCCATATCAATCTGCTCTCACTGAAATATATTTTACTTTTTGAAAATTCTAACCATAAAAATGAAATAGACTTTCTTCCAACAAATGTGAGGTGTTGGGATTGAAATATCATCTTTATTCAGACAAGTGCCTACCTTATTTGTTTGTGATAGGAAACACTTGGATTTCCAAGTGTTTCTTACCCAAAACCAAGACGAACCAATGCCAAACTGCTGTCCACAGCAGTAACCAGCCAGGAATCAGGGAAAAACAGGAAGAAAACGCGAGAAATCTGAGAAGAAATTGCACAAAACTATTGTATTTCAATAGTAGAAGCAAAAACCATAAGAAAGATACAATGTTCTTCGATTCGAGAGGAAGAACATTGTATCTTTCTTATGGTTTTTGCTTCTACTATTGAAATACAATAGTTTTGTGCAATTTCTTCTCAGATTTCTCGCGTTTTCTTCCTGTTTTTCCCTGTTTCCTGGCTGGTTTCTGCTGTGGACAGCAGTTTGGCATTGGTTCGTCTTGGTTTTGGGTAAGAAACACTTGGAAATCCAAGTGTTTCCTATCAAATTGGTATCAGAGCAAGATCCGGGCGGTGGAGGGCTGTTTTCTCCATTGTTTCGCTGCAGTTTTTTGCTGATTTTTGGAGGATCCGGAGGCATCTCGTCGTTTCCCATGGCATCTAAGCGAGTAGAAGTCTTGGAGACCGAGATGGGTCAACTTAAGGCGGATCTGGAGGAGAAGATGGCCACATTTAGCGAGAATGTGGAAGGGAAATTCATGGCTTTGGAGGAGATGATGAAGAAGTTGTTGGAAGGGCAAGCAAGGGCTGTGCCAGTGGAGGAAAGAGGAGAAGGTAGTGGGAGCAGGGGTAAGGAGAAGGCGAATCCAGAAGAGGAAGAGGAGGTGGAACTGCTTAACAGCAACGGGAGGATGCCACCTCGGGAGTCCATCAGGCGAGAAGAACATGACAGA